TCCTCCACCACCCAGCGCCCAATCCAGACCCATCTGCTGCCCTCACCGAAGCCTGTAGAAGGAACTCTTTCAGCTGGACCCTTTCATGCCCATCTGATGATCTCACTGCTGGGCTCAAAATCCTCAATGGCTTCTTGGTTGCCTTTAGAATATGAACCAGGCCCGGCACTGTGGCCCTGCCGGTCCCTCACACTCTCTTGCCCCTACATTCTCCAAATAGCCTTTTCGTTCCCATCGGTCAGTTCATTCCCTTCTCAGGACCTCTGCCTGGCTGGTTGTCCTCCCATGTTCAAGTGGTGGCATCATACTCTCAGGCTGTGCCTTCAGTGTCACCTCAGAGAAGCCCCTGAACCACCTCAGCTGAAGTGCATCATCCCTGCTCAACTGCCCAGGAGTGGGCGCTGGGCTTTCGGTACTCACCCCTCACCCTGGGCCAAACAGAAACCACATGCTGACATCCTCCCGGCTCTGTTCTTTTGGCTTTTGAAAAGTGTGCAATCTCAGCTTTAAGAGCACACACACACATACACACATACATACACACACATGCAAACGTGTGCACACATGCATGCTCACACACACACACAGATCCGAAGTGTTATAAAAACCAACAAGTCTGTCTCACAAACCTCAGTTTTCCCCTTCAAAACACAGATGCAAACGTTTCCTTCCCGCTGCCTCCCTCCATCCCAGGCTGGTTCTCCAGCTTCAGGTCAGCAGGACCCAGTGGGCTCATCCCCACCCCAGCTCCCGGGAAGGAGCAGTGCCCTTGGAGGGGCACAGAAGCAGCCAGATCCCCTTATCTCTGTCCATATGGGAAGGACTGTGGCTGTCTCCTGATTGCCATTTCCCACCCCTCCTTGTCACCTACCGCCAGAGCTCTGGGAAGCACTGGCCACCCCACAGGACAGCACTTCTCCCAGCCTCCACACAGCTGAGTGCAGTTGCATGACAAAGTTGTGGCCAATGGGACGTGAGCAGAATGAATGAGAACATCTCCCCAGTGCCCCTTTCCTAACGTGAACATGGTAAAAGTGGTGAACCAGCATCATCCTTCCTGCCAGAGGATGGTACAGCAACCAGATAGAAGCCAGGTCCTCAGGTGACCTTGTGAAGGAAAGCTATCCACCCATTCTGGTTCACACATTCACCTTGGACTGTTACAGGACAGAAAGTGACTTCCTGATGAGCCAGATTTGGAGGTATCTGTTAGAGCAGCTTAGCCTGCCCCCTAGTGACAATTTATGCCCCATAAATCTGTGATGTTTCCTCTGAAGGCTTGAGCCCAGAGTTAGGGGTGGGTCTTCAAAGGGAGTTTTGTTCCTCCCGTGACCCTCGCCTGGGTATTTGAAGACCAGAGGGAAGGGTCATTTCTGATCACCTACACCCACAGTGCTAGGGGGTTAGGTCAGGAAGCCATCTTAAGGTGTGGTCGGTGTGAGGCTGTATTAGTCCATTTCTGTTGCTTATAACAAAATACCTGGAACTCAGCAATTTATAAAAGAAAGAAATTTATTGCTTAGTTTTGGAGGCTGGGAAGCCCAAGGCCTGGGGAACACATCTAGTGAGAGTCCTGGTGGTGGCAATAGTGACCCAGGCATCTCACATGGCAGAAAATGGCAGAGCAGAGAGAGACTAAACTCTCATGCACTCTTCTTTTAAAGCCCTCAGAACCATGCCCCTGACCACCACTATTAACCCAGTCATTAGGGAATGGTCCCACAATCTCATCACATCTTCAAGGCCCCACCTTTCAATTACCATAATAGGGTTTCCCACCCTCAACAGTTACAGTGGGAATTAAACTTCTAATATATGAACTGTGGGGACACAATTCAATCGATCCACAGCAGAGACCATCTACAAGGTGCCTAGGAACAGAGGAGTGGACTAGCTTGGTCCCTGTCCTCGAGGGCTTGGAGCACAGCAATGGGGACAGGTGGGCAGGTGGCACAGCTGGAGTCCATAGATTCAGCTCCAGGTCCCTGAGGGGAGTCTGGAGGCAAGAAGGTGGAGTGAGTACCACCGAGCCCTCCACCCTGGAGGGCATGCCCAGAGATAGGAGAGAAGGGCGGGGAGGAGGACCAGCTGCTCCGAACCTGCGGCCCGGGAAACAGCAGAAGCCTGGCGGCCTGATGCCTTCAGAAGCTGCTAACAGGACACGCCTGGTAGAGAGCTGGATGGAAGATGAAAGGCACCATAAGCCTGCAGCCAGCTCTGACAGGAAAGGCGGTCGGCTTGCAGGTGGTAGGTTTTGGAGTGATGCTCTGGCAAGGCCAGCTTGGCACCACGTGGGTCCCAGTGGCTGTTGTCCCATACCATGTCTCTTATTAATGAAGCTGTCTGGCACAGCTTATGAATAAGGACACGTGGGCTTCATCAGCCTGGGCCATCTTGCAAGAACGAAAGGGCACACTGATTAAGTGTAATGATTCCTGGGGAACCTTCAGCACGAAGGGAGTCTCCAAGCACCTGGCAAAGGAGAGGGCCTTGCAGGTCCCAGGCCTGACCTGAACCCTGAGAGGGAGTCCTGCAGGCCGGTCACACGGGGAGGACTTGGGAGGAGCAGGCTAACAGCCAGGGACCCTACTTCTCAGATCTTCCAGCGTGGGGCTCTCACTGCTTCCCAATGGACCCTCTCCCCTTCTTACTCAGCAACAGGACCTGGACTGTGTTTGCAAAGTGAGGGAGGCAGAATAAAGGCCCCCCGAGGATGCCCATGGAACTATGGCTGCAGATAGAATTAAGGCTGCTCGTTAGCAGACATTAAAATAGGGCAACTGTCTTGGATTATTTGAGTGGGCCCAGTGTAATCACAGGGGGTCCTTACATGAGAAATGGGAGTGGGGGGTCAGTGTCAGAGCCAGGCAGTGGGAGAAGGGCTTGACCAGCCACTGCTGGCTTTGAGGATGAAGGGCCACCAGCTGAGGAATGTGGCAGCCTTAAGGCTGGAAAAGGCAAGGGAATGGATCCTCCCCTAGAGCCTCCATGAAGAGACACAGCCCTCCATCACCTTGCTTTTAGACCTCCAGAACTGCCATAAGTTTGGGCTGTTTTAAGCCAATAAGAATGCAGTCCTGTTACAGCAGCCATAAGGAACTTGTACAGGGAGATCATAGGTCCTGTCTGAAATACTCAGACTCCAGCCCCCTTGCAGCCAGAGCGGCCACGTGCCCCAAGCTGACTGACAGGGGCAGAAGCAGATATGACCTAACGGGGTTCCAGAAAAGCCACTGTTTTGCTGATAAAAAGGGACAGACTCAGGCAAAGGCTTTTTGCCTTTTACCCAGCCCTCTTGTCACCTCTCTTTCTTCCTGCCTGGAACACAGGTGGAAGATGGGGCAGCCACACCCTGAGGATGCAGAGTGCATGAGAGAGTAGCTGAGGACCAAGCGTCATGGAGTCGCTGCCTGGCCCTGGGAGAACAGCTACCTGCAGCTTCTTGTGAAGTGAGAACGGGAAACCCTGCTGGACCAGGCCTTGACTCTGCAACAGGTGGCCAGACACAGCCCAAGTGCAGACAGCTGGCCAGCTCTGGGCCACAGGGAGCCCCGGGTGAAGGCTTCACACTGAGCAGTGATCCCTGGCCAGTCGGTCACAGGGACAGTTGCTAAATACCAGGGACCCAGGAAATACCCCAACAATCTGGAGCAAAGAGGTCTAGGGCACAGCTATTGGCTGACACATCAGTACACCCAGCCTCCCACACATGGGTCTAGTCACCTCCTTCAGAGGACACACATAAGCATGCCGCATGTGTACAGGTATGTGTGAGCATACACATTTATTTGCATAAAATTCCTCATAGCACTTTTCCCCTATAATTTTATTTTTTTTCCCCTATAATTCTATAATCCAGAAGAAAAAGGATTTAATAAAGTATTTCATCATGTTCAGTTTAAAAAAAAATACAAAAACAAACATCAGGATTACTGACATATACTAATATGCTGAACTGAAAAGTACATACAGGGCTGGACTCGTGGGAGTGCAGCGCTGGTAGCACCAAGGCCGCAGGTTCGGATCCTATCTAGGGATGGCCGTTGCGCTCACTGGCTGAGCGTGGTGCAGACCACACCGTGCTGAGGGTTGCAATCCCCTTACCAGTCGAAAAAAAAAAAAATGAAAAGTTCATACAAACCACCTGGCTATCAACACCCGTGACTCGATTTACAAGTACGATGACAATTTCGATATGAACATTCTAAGAACCTTCAGGTGGAAGAAGTGCGGCAACGCCACCTCCTCCTGGGGCCTGGCTGGGCAGCTGTCTCTAGCACCCATGGTGATCGTACTGCCTGGGCACACAGCCTGAAAGCTTGCCCAGCATACCCAGGAGGAACGCAGGGTGGACATCCAGTGCTCAAAGACCCCCAAATTAACATTAAAAACATTTTTAAACTGTTCAAAGTCTGTGAAATAAAAAGTTCATATTGAAGAATGAAATCCACTAGTTCTTCAGAGGGAACTTTCCACTGGTGGGGAGGTGCTGTTTGATTGGAGTGTAACACACGGCTGTACCATGAACTGTATTCTGTCCACAACACAGATGACGCATGGTCAACCCTCAGGGTCCTAATGGTCAGCTGTGAAAAGCTGGTGTCAAGTCATATCCGGGCGTCCCTTGCTTGTACTAGCTGATGCTCAGCAGTGGTTGGACGGGCCCTGAGAGAAACTGGAGAGCCATGGGATTGAGAAAAGGAAGAAATGATTTGCACCTCACCAGAGAGAAATGAACAAGGGGATTGTGAGGCTGGAGGACAGATCGCTCCTCAGGGGTATGATGTCTGTTGCTGGAACCCCAGCCAGCCCCACACAACAGTGCCCACTCCTCGCTGGGTGGGCAAAGACACACACACTCTGAAAGCGGCGGCACACGCACAACCCAGACCTTCCTGTGGGTCTCTGAAGGGCAGGATCCCATTCTAGTGAGAAGACCCAGGCACCCACCAGATCTAACTGTGAAAGAGAAATGATTCTTCCCCAAGCCTATAGGGCACTTAGTGCAAATTTCCTTTTAAAACAGCTGTAGGTTTCCAAGTAACTTCCAGAACATACAAGAGTTCCAGTGCACACACGTGTGGCTGAACAACATGCAAGCCAGTCCAATTCAGAAATCCTGCAGCTCAGGAATGTTCTGGTACAAATCCAGGACCTTGGGGTTTGAGAAAGCCCCCCGGTGTTCTACGGCTTTTCCAGCAATGATCTGCTTCACAGCCACTTCCACTTTCTTGCCACTGAGCGTGTACTGCAAGGGGAAAGTGGAGAAAACAAAAACAGCAGTTAAGCCTGGAAGGGGAAAAGAACAACTCAGCTCTGCTGTCCAGGCACATCCTTACTCAAAGGACCCACCTCAGTCTGGAGCACTGATGACCCCAAGGCTGCCCCGCAGGCATTTCAGGTGGTCTGAAACCACGCACCCAAGTACTCTGGGCAGACAGCTGTCCCCTCTACATTTGGGGGGGAGGGGGGTATCTGTTCCTTTGAAAGGCAACTTCAAGGCCCAGTACTTAAAACCAACTTTAACACTCTTCCTAACCTCCCACACTGCCCCAGAATGTCTGTCTAGGAGGTGAGTATGCTTCAAACGTGCTGCGAGGTCACCAGGAACAAACTGACTTTCCTAATGCCACACACTGATCGGGCCCCATCGTGATCCAGCTGTGTGCTTCACAGCCGAGCTGGCCCTTGGGAGAGCACAGTGGACATCCTGTCCCTGACAGTTTGTGTTCTGGATTGGGAAATAAGACAAGCATCTTTTCCTTAGCACTTCACCTGACCAGGATGAAGATCATTGCTCATTCCTAAATCCCAATAGACACCCTGAGGAAGAATGTTCTCAACAAAGATGTGACTTCCGGCGCCACATGTGAGGACTTAGGGTGAATTCCTTAACCTGAGATTGTGTCCTTGACTGTAAATGGAATGACAGCAGCTGTCCCAGAGGGCTGTGGGTGAGAGTATGTGGGTTAATGCACATACAACTTCAGAAGTGCCTAGCTATTACATTTTATGATTTTACTTTTATTTTTATTTCATTTTATGTATCTTATTACAGTTACTACATTATAGAGACTGTCATCGTTACTTCAGGAGCAGACTGGCTTCCCAGGACTATGTCCAAGAACCACACCAAACTTCCACAAATGTTTCCTCAGAGCATCCATCCGCATGAGATGGTGCGTTACTTTCTCTCATAGTCAAACTCTTTCCAAACATCTAAAGTTCCCCCTAACATTTGTGACATGTGTTTCACCTTTCACACAAATGCTCTTTTGGCAGGGTTGGTGAGTTATGGGCCAGGGGACTTCTAGGCAGCAGAGCCTGATGACTTGCCCACACTTTGAGCATTCATCACATGGGTACTTTTTTCTTTTCCTGATATTATGGGTTGTGTCCTCCCAAAAGTTTAATGGGTTAGGAGCTTGCTCCCCACCGTGGCAGTGTTAAGAGAGTGGGAAATCCTGTTACGGTAATTGAAAAGTGGGGCCTTGAAGAGGTGATTAGACTGTAGGACTGTGCAGTAGTGAATGGATTAATAATGGTGGTCAGGGGCATGGTTCTGAGGGCTTTAAAAAGAGAGCACATGAAGAGCTCTCTCTCTCTGCTCTGCCATTTTCTGCCTTGTGAGACCCCTGCATTGCTGTTAAAGGCATCACCAAGACAACCTTCACCAGAAGTGTTCCCTGGCCTCCAAAACTGTAAGCAATAAATTCTGTTTTTTTATAAATCACCCAGTTTCAGGTAGTTGTAACAGAATGCTACACCTGAGATGTAATTAAAATTCATTTAGAAAATGCAGTTGATGTGTGAACTAATTAAGGATGTAAGCACCAAGCTTCTGAGGGATGGCCTGTTGCTTTAGTGTGGTGTCATTGGCTTTCCGGCTTTGAGCTGAGCACATCTCATGTGCTTTCTGTGCTACTTGCCTTCACACAAGAACCCCAAGTATGGCTCACAGGAGCTCATCACTTACAGCTTCCATTGCTGACAAAGTAAACCAAGCATCATCCAAAGCAATCGTACTGCTGTTTCCTCCAGTGACAAGGGATGGGAAAAGGTAGAAAGCCCCTGGGCTCCTGCACAGTCCTCCCCAGATGCACGCAGAGCGGCCTCCGGTAAGGGCAGGCCACACACCTCAACTGCAACCCGGGCCAAGATCTGCTGGAATCAGGACAGCCATGACTTCCTTGGGCCCTGCAGGAGGAGATCCTTCAAATGCCCCAAGCCCATTACCGCTGAAACAACCCAGAATCCCAGGTCTTTATTCTGGGTTAGTGGAAGGCAGAACTGATTCTGCATACCACTCCCTTGGGCAGGACCCTCACTTCTCTGGGTTTCTTCATCTGTAAAATGGGCATGAAAAAGACAAACTTACACCACCTCACCAGGGTGTCAGGAGGACCAGCTACACTCACTCACTCATTCATTCATTTATTCACTCATCAGACATGTATGAGCATCTACTGTTTGCCTAAGTAGGCTGAGCTCCGGGTAGAAGGGGTGACCCAACAAGGTTCCTGCTCTTAAGGAACCTCCACTCCAGACAGAAAGATATAGACAAGAAACAGTAACCTACCCTCAGTAAGTGGTAAACACTATCAGGGCTAAAGAGAGAGGCCAGAGGGTACTATTTTTTTTATTTTTTTTTTTATTTTTTTTTTTTTTTGTCTTTTTTCCGTGTCCGGCAACGGATTGCAACCCTCAGTGTTGCCCCCGTACCGGACCGGGGACCGGCAACGGGATTGCAAACCTCGGTGTTGCTCCCGCGCCTCGCTCAGCCAGTGAGCGGGAACCGGTCTACATGTGGGATCGCAACCCTCAGTGTTGCCCCCGTACCGGACCGGGGACCGGCAACGGGATCGCAACCCTCGGTGTTGCTCCCGCGCCTCGCTCAGCCAGTGAGCGGGAACCGGTCTACATGTGGGATCTGAACCCTCGGGCGGGAGCGCCAACGCACTTCCCAAGCGGCGGCCAGTGAGCGGGAACCGGTCTACATGTGGGATCCGAACCCTCGGGCGGGAGCGCCGCCGCACTTCCCAAGCGGTGCAACCGGGCCGGCCCCAGAGGGTACTATTTAAAACAGGAAATTCAGAGAAAGCCTCTCTGATGTTTGAGCCAGGTGCAAATTAATGTGAAAGTGCTCTGTATGCTATAAAGACCCACTCTAAGTATAAATTGATTACAATCAGAGACAGCATTAAAACAGAAGCATTAGGACTAGGTTCTGGGCACATGTGGGCCAGTGCATTCCAAGCAGGCTCTGTTATCAACCCATTTTAGATCTGAGAAAACTGAGGCTCGCGGATGCTAGATCAGTTGCCCAAAGTCACACCTCAAAGGAAGAGGTGCAGCCAGAGCTGAGAGAGCCCTTGTGCATAAAGACCCCCAAAGGAAATGCCAGCAACAATGGCAGTATGAGGGCCTGTGGTACGGACCAGACCCGCCCAGGGCCTCTTTACTCCCGAGGGTCCTTCCACTCCATTTGTGTCTCATTACCTCCCTGGGCAGTAGCAGGCAGGTGAGGGGCTTCTCTCCACATGCTACAGACCAGAGATGGGAGGAGTCCTGCTCATGCAGATGTGGGCTCATGGCTCTTCTGAGCACTCCCCAGGGAACGGAAGGGGGAAAGCCTCTCGCGGCCTCTTGTTCTGACCATGTGTCCGAGGCTCAGGCTTCTCAGGATGGGCGAGGGGGCAGCCCTCCCCAAAAACACCATGTGGAGCGTCAGACCTGCACTGAGCCCTCCTACCATAGCAAGGCCCTAGAACTTTCTGGACGAGACCTCAGTCATCCTCCTCTGACACTGAAGGGGGTCCACTTCCCACCAAGGCTGGCTGGGGTCACATCGTGTTACCTTCCCTGCAGAAGCTGGGCCAGACCCACCCCCAGCTCAGTGACACACAGGGCGAGTCCTCTCCTAAACGCTCCATTAGTCCAGACCACAGGGTCTGAAAATATAAGGGCACTTGAAAAATCTCCAATAACCCTCAAAATGACTATAGGGAGCAATAAGACTCAGGAGAAGACAGCCTCTGGGAAGAGGAGAGCCCAGAACCCAGCAGGGCACCCTAACGGCAAGCTGCTGAGAGCCAGGGGGAGGTGGAGAGAAAGACTGTCAGTTTTCTCTCTCTTCATAAGCTGTTCCACTGCCCTCCCAAGCAGATACAGTTTGGGAATCACTATTTTGGCAGCAAAGGACAGAGGCTCTTTTTCAAAAAAATAAAGCCAAGGGGACAAAAATCAAACTCTAGTTTCCTAAAATGTCCCAGATACAGATGGAACTGATTCACTGGAGGAAATCTTTAGACCCTCATGAGAAAAAGACAGTGGGTCACTGATTAGAGAAGAGCCTCCTCTACCTGACAGTGCCAAAGTCTCCAGTCACCAAGAGGCACCAACCAAAAGGAAGAGACAGCTGGAAAGAGCCCAAGCTCAGAGGCTCCTCCTGTGCATAATCAAAGTGAAAAGGAACTATGTGGTCCTTACAGAAAATAGAGACCAATTCTGAACATATGGGCAGGTGGCTGGGAGAAGGGGGAAGCAGGTGACCCAAGTGGGGGAAGAAAAAGAAAGAGGAGGCTGATCCAGGTAGGATCGGGCATCACACACGGTAGATGCACCTTGAGCACCTGCACGCAGGAGGCATCCTGAGCACCCATGTGCAGGAGGCACCTTGAGCACCTGTATGCAGGAGGTGCACCTGGAGCATCCACATGCAGGAGGCACCTTGAGCACCCCCACACCCCTCACTCCTGGACAGGTTGTTTTAAAGATATTGAAAGAGCTTGTTCTTTCACAAAAAGAATGATCTAGGTATGCTCGGGGTTTCAAAGTCAATGGCATCAATATTTTAAGTTTCCAAGAAGCTGTGTTTCCTGGTAAATCCCATCTCTAACTGCACCTCACACACTCATCCCCACTCCTGGGGGACGTCAAAAGTCCCCCTCAGCTGTACACCAGGTTAGTGTTTGCTCCTGTCTTCTCCTCAGTGAACAGCGATTATTCAGGCTTCAAATACAGACCACCGCGTGTCTGTTTACATGCACATACATGCAGTTTATTCTCTTGGCTTAGAGGCCCCCATTGTGCGTGGAATGCAAGTGAAAGCTGTGATCCAGTCTGGGTGAACCTCTGCCCCCACCCAGAATCTAAACAGAGTGTAACGGGGGGAAACAGCCTTCTGAAGACCTGCCTCTAAACAGATTCAAGTCTGGTTTCCACAGGCAGAACTTAAAATTAAAAGGCAAGAGCAACAGCCCCCCAGCAGCTCTTTAAGAAGTTAAAATTAATTTTCTCATTAGTAATTTTGAGAACATACTAAAACCACATTGGGGAAAAGCCAATTGGACCTGCAGGCCAGGCCTGCTAACCCCCTGAACACCAATATTTAGCACAAGTTGCTTTAAATGCCATCTTAGGAAGGGTGGAAAATAGACAGTGGGGAGAAAAGGAAGCAGTTGCTAGGCAACGTGGACAAACTATATATAAAACATGAGCAAGCCACTTAGAGGCCGAGACTTCTTGAAGTGTCTGGGCTCAGGGGAGGTGACAGCAGTCTCATCCTATACAAGTGGCAGGAGACAGGCCATACCGGGATGCCCTTGGTTTCCAAGATGAGGCTGGGGATGTGTCGTGCAGACAAGCCCACACGGATGGCCTCACGGATCCTCTTCACCAAGTCAGGCTGGAACACATGCCCAGAAGCCATCTTCAGGAAGAGGAGCACCCTCTCCTCCCCATCCTTGTTATACTGGGGGACACACAGGCTGTCCATCACCTCCTCAAAGGCTTCCACTGTGGAGACAGGAGGAGGGCCACACTCACGCACATTCCCACAGGCCCAGGGTCAGCCTCAGCCAGCGACTCCTCACACCTACCCAGCAAGAGGGGTGAGGGTGCTGGGCCACCCAGTCCTGAGTGGGGGATGCCTTTCTCCCTCAGCCCACGGGGAAGAGTGCCTGGGGAACACCGGCCCAGGGAGCCATCTAACAAGCAGAAGAAAACCTGTCACTGGGAAGACAGTCACAGGAGCTTCAGCTTTATTTGGATTGGGTGATGTTTCTCAAGGAGGCTGTGTGTAGGCCTTACCTACTCCATGAGAAATTAATTAAAACTAAAAAGGAAGCAAGTGTCTGTGGTGGGGACTCCACCGGAGGGAGGCACAAAAGTCAGCATCAACCAGATTTGGATTTCTGCACCCTGGCTGCACAAACAACCTGGACATAACTCTGGGACTCTGACCTAAGCCCTAAGGCATGAGGCCACCTCCCAGGAAGGCAAACTGCATGGCCTGGGCTGGGCTCGGCTCCCTGGCCGGGCAGTTCTGAAGTCCCACGGGCCTACACTGTCTGTACTTGGTGTCTTGCATGGTGCTCTGTGTCCTTTGGCAATCCTGCAACCTCTCTGTGCTTCTGTTTCTTCATTCTTAAAGAGGAGACAATTAACTAACCTGACTGAGCTCACCATGAGGATGAAACGTAACAGGGAAGAAGATGGGCCAAGTGACCTTAAGAATCTGATTCTGGGGTTTTCAGAGCTATAGCAATGTGGATGAGGAATGTTCTGGAAAGGAAGACATACTCATAAATGTCCGTTCTCATGCCAGAGGCAAATGAGCAGAGTCACACCAGAAGATGGGAATCTTGGAAATCTGAGTCTCCTACTAGGGCCTCCTGGGTGACTCTAGAATAGCTCAGGGAGGAAGGAAAAGTCATACCAATGTTGTAGATTTCCGAGCTGCCAAACCGCACTCCATTGGGGTTGAGCGTGCCATCACTGGAAAGAGAGACGGGGTCAGGAATACACAGCAGCTCTGCAGCAAGCATGTCCCAGAGAGGGGACTGGGGGAGAGCAGTCACCCCTTTCCACATGGCAACCCCCCTGCGCAGTCAGGAAAGGCTCCCCCGCCAGCTCTTCCCGTTTTTCTCACACTGAACTTAAAGTCAGATTTCAAGGGAGTCCCCCCCCCAAGTGGAAACACCTGTCGCCTCACTGCCCCTTCCCACCCGTACACATGTCGCTCTTTCCCGGGTACAGACACTGGTTATGCCTTTGCCACGGGCCTCCTATCCTGACACCCCCACCCCTGTAGGGCATGGAAACATGGACTGGGCCCAGACACAGCCATCTGGAAGCTGACACAGGGACGCCTCACTGCAGGAAGGGCCCAAGATGGGGAATAGTCAGCCCAATGCACAGGCTGAGCAGATGAGGGGCCCGGGATGCTTCTTTGGAGGGGTCTTCAGTCAGAGGGATGGCATGGGCAAGGGCACGGAGCACCCGGGGGAGGTGTGTATGGTAGGGTGCCCAGAAGAGGGTCATTCACTCTCAAAAGAAGCTCCCCCCCCAGATGCCTCCAGAAGTGGGGGCTCCAGGGAGGAGAAGCCAACCCTGCAGAGCCCTCACCTCCGGCCAAGCATGACGATGCCCCCGGTCTTGGGGTTGATTCTGCAGTAGTCGCCGTGTGCCCAGATACCTACAAGGAAGGCAGGGATACTCAGTCATGAGTCGTGACAAGTGACCTGGACAGACGGCTGGGCTGGGGTAGGCAAAACAGCAAGGAGATGCTAGTCAACAGACATTGCCAAAGCCCAGAAACAGGTAGGTGCTGGGGCTGGAGACCCACAGGACTTGGGGGAGAAGTGAACCAGAAAGTTCCTGCCCCAAGGAGCATGCCCTCTCGTGGGGGCCACCACCCTTCCGGCTCTGACACCTGCTGGCATGTGAGAAGTGCCACTCCTGCAGGCACCAACAGGGCCATGGGGATTCAAGCATGACAAGACCGACCTCAGCACTGACACTGGAGGTGAATGGAGCACTTGGAGGAGGGCACTCTGAGTGGAGGGTGCCAAAGAGCCAGCTGCACCTGCGAAGCGAGAGTGGTCAGGGCAGCAGAGGGAGCTGGGTCTGGAGGGGGTGGAGCCCAACCTGGGAATGGGATAAACAAGAGGCATGACCAGGCAGGCGACTACTACACCGGTCCCAGCAATGCAGGCCTGAATGTTAGCCATGTGCACAGAGAGACAATTAACAGGTAAAAAAACAAACAAAAAAAAAAACCCCAGGGGACAGGGAGGGCAGGAAAAGAAAGCACCAGAGGTGACACTTGCACCAGCACCGCACCACCGTGCCATCCTTATGCGGTCAGCAGGCCACATGTGCAGCTGGGACCTGGACTGGAGATGTTCAGAGGGGACAAAGTTAACAGACCCAAAGGGATCAACACCCTAGCTATGGACATAACTTGGCTTTTCAACATCTAAGAGGAAAGGTTGTTCCTTTGCCACGTCCTCCACTCAGACACTGACAGTAAAGAGGAGCCACACCCATACAGCAATGAAGCCATGAGAGGCCTCCTGTTGCAAGTAGCACCAGTCCCTGATCAGCCACGCTAATGGAGGGGAACTAGCTGCACGTAATGAAAAGTACATGTCCATGGACTCTGCAACGACTTGGAAGTTGCCGGCCGCAGCAGCAGACTGGCCTCCTGAAATATGTCCCAAGGAGTTCCTGCAGTCCAGGAAGGGAAAATGCTAAATAGAACCAGCTTCAACACCTTCACTCATAGGCGGCATCCTCAAGAAAGCACCTCTTCCCTCCTGGTTGTCCTGACACCGCTTCTCCAGCACTTCTCGACTGTGAGCGTGCCAACCCAAAAAGCTTGCGACTTGCCCATGAGCTGCCACCCCCAGCAATGATGAACTCCATCTATTCACTCACTCATTCGGTGTCGTGAAGGAGACACTATTACAAGCCACGACCCTTCCAGCAGACGAAGGCCAGGTCACCCGTCTGCAGGAAGTGTGCAGCCCTCGGGAGGCAATTCAAGGAAAACAAAATGGGTCATAAGCTATTCACACTGACGCAAAAGAGAACTGCAGACCTTGAGGTCTTTCTTCCCTCCTCCCAACCTAACTAATAAAACTGATTATTTGTAATTGGACTTTTAAAGATCCACATACAGAAACAAGAAAAACAATCCCTCCATTGGCTTGCACGTAACATGCCAAGTTTCTGCAGAAGCACATCTGTGTGGCCACTCAGAGAACCAGGGTCATGAACAGCCAGCTGGGAGAAAAGAGAGCCCAGAGCCTGTCCCACCCATCTGGAAACTGTTTCTCATTTTAGAATTTTAGTGCCAGGATCAACATACAGTTTGTTTTGTTGGGAGTGAGGTCTCCCCTGAATTTGATGGAAATTTCTGGGGTTTGTGGGCCCTAATCACTGAGGTCCTGGAAACCCAGAGAAGGAAGATGCAAACCCACCCTGAAGAAATTTTCTGTTGTGAAAACATTCCCCCCTAAAACACCTCGATCTCAAGCAAAGCAAAGCCAAGAAGACAAATCCACAAGTGGCTGCTGGCTTTGGTGCGCTGTTAGGAAATGGCTCAATCATAAAACAAGTAACAAAAGCAAAGTCCTCCTTTCCACTACAAACCTAAGAAAGACTTAGATCATTCAGATGCTTCAAAGCACTGATTTCTGCTCTACGTTTCCTGGAAGCTGAGGCAAAAACGGAAATACCATGGGTACAGATGGCTGCAGATGACACAGGAGACCAGGCTTGTTTGGAATTTGTCACCTGCAATGACCTAGATTTTTTTAAGCCTGCTTTTAATCCCTCTTTAAATATTTACTAGGTTTTTTAAAATAGTAAAAAGGCATGAAGAAAACCAAAATGGCTCATAATCCCACACTCATATACCCCTCGTTCAATTTTTTTCCCCCCCACATTCAAGACACACTTGTCTGTTTATTCACACTATCGCACTGATATATTTCCTTTCTAAAATTTACACAACAGGGATGCCATGCCCTCTGTTCTGAACTCTCCTTTTTCACTTAATAATTTCTTGGATGCCTTTCCATACCAGCACGTGGCCCATTTACATTTTCACCTGGCATAATTTTTCGAGGCAATAATGTCTGTAAATCTACTCCCCATTGTAAAAAGGAAGACTTTGCTTTTGTTGCTTTGTTTTACCACTGAGCCATTTCCTATACAGTCTAAGATTCTCCTAATGCTGACACTTGAGGCCAGTCTAAGTTCCACCTACATTCACCTGGTCCGTGACCAACAGCTTCAGATCCCACTATCTCATCTGTCTTCGTCTTTCTGTATTTACTCATCTCTCTCACCTACTCCCAGGAAGTATTTGAGAAAGCTGCCTACAAAACCCACATCATGATAGGATTATTAAAAGAGAATCAGAAACTTTGCCCCAGGGGGTAAGAGGACTACTACAACAAAGCAATGATTCCAGCTCTGAGTTTCCTGGTAGACAGAGCAAAAATGGAAAAGTAGCAGGTCACAAATTATTTGTCTTCTCCAAGGAGGAATATCAGAGCTTCAAAAAGAGAAAAATTTATTGTGAAATTAATCCTGAAAGGCATTTATCACACGAACCCTTGCGTATGTGGAAAGAGCAACAGAAAAGACAGTTTCCACAGAGCAATGTTGCAGAAGAAGGGCTGCCATTTCTTGGATGGATCCTCAAGCTAAGGGTCTAATCCTTTTGGCCTCCCTTCATAACACAGGAGCCCCCACCCTCTTCTGCAGGGTCATGTGAGGAGTGTTGCTCCCCACAAGCTCTCGCTATTCTACATTCAGCTATCTGGACAGCTACATGCTGGCAAGAGCCACGGTGTTGCTTAAATGCAGGTCTCCAGTAAAACCTGAGCCACATCTGGAGGATGCTCCCCAACACCTGCATGGGAGGTGTTATGCCAGGTATGATGGCTTTTACACATGGCATGCAAACATGCAAAGCCAAGTCGAGAAACAGGAAGTCTCCCGAGCAGATTCTCCCACAAATGGTCACTTGCTGCCTTTCTGATTCTCCACATATGGTTTATGCAAAATCAAATTACCTTTCTACAGACTGCAGAAAGCAAGCAAGTAGTTGGTATAAATAACTCTGGAACAGAAGGTTTGCTAGATTATGAATTATATAGCAGCAATAACTCAAAGTTGCTTATGAAATAAGAGGGTGGCAAGAATCAGAGCTTTAAATAAAAGACTTCTCTGCTTTGGGCTGAGGCGCCGCTCAGAAGGTAAAGGGCGAGGGTGTCAGTCTGCATGAGAGTGACGTGTTTGATTGCAAATCATCCCACCACACAAGCACTCCTCCTCCATCATCTCCACGAGGACAAGGTAACAGTGTGAGAGACGCAAAGGAAGAGACCGGAGGCAGACACCTCCCCCACACGCCCTTTCTCTCGGAACAGGCAGACCCGGTCCTGATCCAGTAAGCGGGTTCTGGCCTCTCATAATCAAGTCAGGGGCTCAGGCCAGGCCCCAGGAGCAGGGTATGGGGTGCAGGGGCTCTGGGCACAGATTATGGTTGAGATTCAACTAAACCCAGATTACAGTTTCACAGGATGGCAGATGACAAGATATTGATCAAAAATTCATGGGCCGGCCCGGTGGCGAACTGGTACAGTGCGCCACTTGGGAGCATGGTGGCGCTCCCGCCGAGGGTTCGGATCCCACATACAGACCGGCCACTCACTGGCTGAGTGAGGTGCGGCGCAACACCGAGGGTTGCGATCCCATTGCCGGTCCCAGTCCGGTGCGGGCACGACACTGAGGGTTGCGATCCGTTGCCGGTCACAAAAAAAGACAAAAAAAAGGAAAAAAAAAAAAATTCATTATCACGCCACTGGTGGAACAAGCTATGAGCGGCTTCTCTGGGCCTTGGTGGGGGGTGGGGGAGGGGACAGAGGGGAGGCATACAGAATTAGACACAGAAGGCCCAGCCAAGGCAGAGTCTGGGCATCTCTGTGCATCTCTCTGACCTACCTGGGAATTTGGAGAAATACGCGTTCCTGTACTTGCTGCCATTCTCGTCGTTCCAGAAGTGTGTGGGCTGGCAGGGAAGTGGCTTAGTACACACCAGCTCACCACTCTCTCCCCAGACGGCCTTTCCTGGTATGGGAAGAATAAAAAATAAACCCAGTGCACACCACAGCCACACACCCTGCTCACTCTTTCTTTCTTAAGCTATTACTCATGCAATATTCCAGACATGTACAAAGGGACAGAGATGATCCACACTCACATACCCATCATTGCAGCCTCAGAAAGCAACCATTCCTCCCCAGATGGATCCCCCTTCCTCCACGTGCCCCACATTCTCTCGAGTGTAGTGTTTGATTACTCCTCTATGTGTATTAACACTTTTACTATATCCTGTGCACTCCTGAAGAGCATGCACTGTCATTTTGCGTGGTTTTGAACTGTGTAAGTGGTATCACGTTGCATGTGGCCAGCGCCGTGCTTCACCCGCTCGGCATAACACCTGGGTGGCTCATCCATGCTCCTGCCTGTCGCTCTGGTTCATTCACTCTCATCGCTTGGTTACTCTCCACGTGTGATCATAGAGTTTATTCCTCCTGACGATGGGCATTTGTATTGTTTCCAATTTTGTTTTCTACTGCAAATCATGGGGCTAGGGGCATTCCTGCATATATTACCTTGTCATATTTGTTGCACATATTTCTCCCAGGAGTGGATTCCTGGATGACCACGTACATACACGTTCAACTTTACTATCACCAAATTGCACTCGCATATATTACCTTGTCATATTTGTTGCACATATTTCTCCCAGGAGTGGATTCCTGGATGACCATGTACATACACGTTCAACTTTACTATCACCAAATTGCACTCGCCCCTAAGAAAGCAGCCAGATTTCTAGCCACCAGGCACAGCACATGCAGAGGCCAATGAGAGAGGGTGGGAGAGTATCCCTTCCATTGCTAGGCCCTTGGACGTGGTAAGCCGGCCGGTGCCCATTTATTCAGCACCTTCCACGGGCAGAGCACAGTACGCTTGCATTACAGAAACCATCATCTCCACTGTACACTGCATGAGGCTCCTGACTTTTCCAACTTTTTTCACTTCTGCTAGCACATTTCATTCCACAATGTCCTCGAGATAGAAGCCAGACAGATAGTTTTCTGTGCATCTGAGAGCTGGATAGTCACCTGTTTCTCTCTGCCTGGAGCATTTCCCTCCTGACCAAGAGAAATGGTTTAGACAGATGGAAAGAAAACAGACTTATGGACCAGAGAACTTTTATAAGCAAATCACTCTCTGGACAGCAAAAGGGAAAGGCCCTCTTCTGAAAATGAGTACCAATTTTCAGGAAGGTCACTGGCAACGTTTTCTACGAACTGCCCAGGCTGCCAGACCCTAGCTTGGTGTGGCCACCACTGCTGCCATCTCTCCGTCTTCCTTACAAAAGCAGGGTGGGCATAACCTTCCCATTCACTTGGCCAGAGTAAAATGATGGCAGCCACAGTCCAGACCGTTTAAATCCATGAGCTTGTACAATGCACACACCACATGCCAGGCCCTGTTTGGTGCTGAGAACACAAACTGGCTTTGCTATTTATGGCCGATGGTCACTATGGGCTACAAAGCAAAGGCTCATTCTGACGCTAGCAGAGAACCCAGCGCCCTAGTACCCCACTGGACCCTCACCAAGGGCAGGGCATCGACCTGCCTCAGCGGCATCTCCAGGGTTCAGATTCGGGGCAACAACTGCCTGCCCGCTGTTTCTGAGAACACAGCTCTCCGTCTCTGCTCCAGCCCAACCCCTACCTCTCAAGGGCTGAGGACAGGAGCCCAGTGGTTGCTAAACCAGGCTGGGGGAGAAGAAATCACTCTGCAAGTGACGGGGGCCGCCCCTCTCAGACAGAGCTAGTTTGGAGAACTACCACCGAGCAAAGTTCCACATCCACGCACTTCCAAGTTACTATTCACACCTAGTCACAGAAAGAAAAACTCAGTGAAGCCGTCACCTTCCTCGTTCCATGCTTCCACGGCCATGCCCAGGTTCCGGGCCTGAATCTCCCCTTTATAGACAGGAACAGAAGAATTCTGACCCATGAAGCAGGAGATGATGTCAGTGCCACCTGCGAGCAGTAACAAAAGGAGATTCAAAATTCATAAGACTGAGACAGTGCTTATTTTTTCTATTAGTGAACAACAAGGGAAAAAAACCCAAAAGGACAAATATCTACTCTCCCCAGATAAATACTGAAAAGATCCCAGATGGTTTGAGCTTTTCGGAGAGAAAAGGGGGAGGTGATTTAGATACTGGCATAAACCTCCCAAATCTGGTGATTTATTTTTGACAGAGTCTTCCTGCTAGAGGATACTCTAAACAAATGACCTCTCAAAGACTCCTACTGTACTTGTTTGTAAACCTGAGAAACTTTACTCATAATTAAAACAAAATTTCCTTAATTGTGCTGTGTGTAGATGAATGGGGGGAGGGAGGAAGAGGTTTCAAGATCTGCATAGTATGATTTAGTATCTCCAAAACCCAGAAGGGCTTGTTTTGGCCTCAACTCTAGGATGACTGATTGTGGCTCTTCCCTCAGGCAGAGAATCAAAATATGATATCGTTGCTGTCTTCTCCGGCACCTCCTGTCACTGACCGACATGACCATGAGAACTAGAGAGTCCTTTCATTTCTGCCACCACCCAAGCTGGACAGACTCCCAGGCCCCAGCAGCACGAACACCCTCTGCCAAGACTGCTTATGCCACTTCAGAGGGGTGACTGGGACAACAGGATAGTGGCAAGAAGACAGGCCCAGATCCTACCCAGTGTGACTGCTGGAGATGCGCTGGGCTGGTCCGGGAAACAACCCCTCTCCACCAGCCAAGCCTCTGGCATGCCCAGGTGAGGAAGCTGCTCTGCAGCCTGAGAAACTGCTCAGCAGGGCCAGGAGGGGGCAAGGAGGGTCCAAAGGGAACCTGGGTCCCAGGGGGATTAGGGGGCAGGGCCAACCACCCAGAAACCGTGTGCACATCTAGGGGAAATTTAGAAAGCCTTCAGCCAGCTCCAGGACAGTGCCCAAACTTTCACACAGGAAGGAGAAGAAAACAGCCCGAGACCCCCAGCGTAAGACCAAGGAACTACCTGGGAGGAAGGCGGGCTCAGGCTTCAAGTAAATGGCACCTTTTAAAGAGGTGTTTCAAGTTATAAGGAGAAAAATCAGAATTACTGATGTGCAAAAAGAAAAGTGGCCCAAAGATTTCTACGGGCTGCAATGGAATTAACTCTAAGTCACACTGTTGAGAGGAAGTAAGGTGTGACCTGAAGTCACATCTGTGCAAAAAGGGGGAGCTCTTGCCCCACTTACACGCACACACATGCACACACACATGCACACATGCTCACCTATGCACAGAATACCTCTGAAAGGAAACAAGGTCACTCCCTCGGGGAAGGAGAGAGAGCAGCAATGGGGGTGGGGAGGACTCAGCCTTATTTCCTTTAGTGGACTGAATTCTTTACTGCGTGCACAAATAATTGTGCAAAGCACAACTTTACATTAAGAAAAAAATGAGAAAAAAGGCCACTTGTAATCCATATATACAACCCCTCATGTACACACACGAGTGTGTATGTACACATCCATGTATTCCTTTTCTTCAGTCTATAAAACTGACAACTTATAGTTCTGCAATCTACCTTTTTTTTTTTATTCAACACATCACAACCATCTTTCAATGTCAATACATGAGTATCTAAATAAATACTTTCATCCTACCATGTCTAAGGGCTGCATAAATTATGGATGTGCCATAAGTCATTCAATTAACTCCCTTCTACTGGGCAAACAGGTAATTTCTACTTTTTAATAATAAAAATAATGTGGCAATAATCATCCTTATATGCAGGCAATCTTCATTATTTACAGATTATGTATTTGTGAATTTGCCTACTTGCTAGAATTTATCTGTAACCTAAAAATGAATACCAGGGGCACTTCTGTGGTCATTCTCAGACATGCACAGAGCAGTGACAAACTTGAGTCACCCACACGCCCAGTCCAGCTTAGGTTGCTCATGGTGCCACTCTGCATTTCTTCCTCAGCTGTCACACACAGGAGACCCCGCAGCCTAGGAAGCTCCAGCTCTGGGGCTAGTTGGTTGCGGTCTAAATCCCAACTCTGGTACCTGTTAGCAGCGCCACCTCAGTCTGAACTTCTTTTTCTCTTTTGTAAGATAAAGAAAATAGAATCTACCAGGATGAATTGTTTTTAGGATTTAAAATTGTAATCACCATGAGAAGTATGTAGCAGGGGGACAGTGGGGGAGGGGCATGTATGGGTGAGAGTATGAGTATGTGTATGCATGTCTGTGTGTCTGTGTCTGTATGTGCATATGGGTCTGTATGTATGTGTGTGTATTTCTCCCTGTGGGGGTGTGTGTGTATTTCTCCCTGGAACAATGTCTCAGTATTTGCTAACTCAGTGTTCACAGCGACTTCATAGAACGTCACTACCTGGAGTAACAGGAGTAACAGGGATAGACTGTGCACACTGTATGCCCTGCTGATGTGTCCTCAGGATGAATTCAAACGTGCACACGCTAAGTCAGAGGCTGTGCATGTCATGGGGCCCAGCGTGGCCGTCAGGAGGCAAGGTGGGCTGTCCCCACCGCACCAGTACATAGAGCGGGAGCCAATTCAAACGTGCACACGCTAAGTCAGAGGCTGTGCATGTCATGGGGCCCAGCGTGGCCGTCAAGAGGCAAGGTGGGCTGTCCCCACCGCACCAGTACATAGAGCGGGAGCCATACCTGATATGGAGCCCAGCAGAACGCTGCTCTTGATGTTTTTGTAGACGTACTCATAGCTTTGAGCTTTCAGGGGGGACCCTGTAGACAGGATCATGCGAAGTGTCTGGAGATTGTGGGTTTCCACTAGAGTGAAGGATCACAGAAGATTAAAACTAAATCCAATGCCTTGAGTCTCACCTACATGCAGGAACAGTCATACGATGGATTTAACTCCCTTGGCTGGCAATGCAGGGAACAGGTACATCCTGAGGCAGCTTACCTGGCTTCATATCTTTATCTTCGAGCACGGACAGCCACTTGGCACCTGTTCCCAAGATGGTGATGCTAAGGGTACGGGTGGGAAAGAAAACACCAGAAACTCTTCAATGTTCTTGCATATTCCACACACCAAGGCTTCTAAGATTAGTGATTTATTTCTGACAAGTTTGCAAAACCCAAGACACAGTATTTTTCTGGGTTGAACAAATACTTAACATTTACTGGAGGGTGAGTCTCGGCACCTGTTTACTCTGAGGCACAATGTGACAAGTCTTCACGTTGATTCCAGCGTGCAGAGTTGGAGCTTCCTAGCTCCCTCTGACATCTGGCTTTATTTAAAACAATTGTTGTAAATAAAGAACTTGAACCCACTGTCTTCCCAACTGCACAGTATTTTATCTTGGGGAACTAAATGAGGTCATACAAGACCCCTCAAATTCCAACCTCACACATTCGTTTTCCAGTGAAGTAGAGAGGGTTATGGAATTCCTCACTTGTTAAAACAGGTACCATACTTCAAATCTTCAACCCATGCCCTTTTCTTAAACAACCTCGCATTTTTATGAAGCTTAGAAAATTGCAGCTCTTCTCATCTAACATTTAGAATCAACAGTCCTTTATCCCTGCATTTGCACTCACAGAAAGATGCATTGTGTTGAGTATAAATCACTGTTTTCCAGGGGAGCGCTACCTAATCTGCTATTTCCTCCCTCGGCTCTTCTTCCAGTGCAGTGGTTCTTAATGTGGAAACCCGATTTCCCAACTAAAGAATATTTTCTCTTGGAGGACCAAAGGAAGATATAAAATCAAGACCCCTCATGTCCCTCTGGGCAATAAAACCTCATCCTCTGCACACTTGGGTGGAGATTCATCGGTAAGACCATCCTGTCACGCCCTGTATGATGCTGAGAGGCAAAGCCACACAGAACATTCAGGATTCAGGGCCGGCTGGGATGTGGGGTGAATCAACAACAGGGTGCGGCTCCCTCCGAGCAGGGAAGTGGGTTACTGTGGTCCTTGTACCTCCTGTGCCTTTATTCTCCTCACTCCCCCAGGACAATTCTGCCACCACTAAAGCTACCACTCAACCCACAGGCACCCCCTGGATCACTATGCCCTAGAGATGTCTGGGTTTTTTGGGCAGGGGGATGAGGAATAGGCTCCTCCCACCATCCCCTCAACGCTTATTTCATAAACTCAGAGTCTGATGAACTACTTCAACAACACGTTCAAGGATTAAGGGGTCACCCCTTCAGGGATATCTATATTTTAACAGGATCGGAGACTTCATAACTCTAATGGATCCACCCAGCACTGGACAGCAGTGACAGCTTCTAGCTAAGGGTACAGAGCTCTACAATCACCAACCACACACAAACAACACATGGGTTTTATTCTGCTCATCCCCAACCCTTCAGAAAACTTGATGGCCCTCTGGGGTTCTAGAGCACATTTAAGTCACAGGAAGACTGCAGGCTGAGATCTTGGTGAGATGGCCAAGACTCTGAGAAGGTATGTCCCAGGCCTGTGGGTCACAGCCTTGCTTGTCTGAGGAAATGGCAGATTCTTCCATCTATTCCCAGGGCTTGCATAAGATGGTTAAAAACAACATTTAGTTCATGTAAGTATGGGAGCCCATGTGTGGAAACTCCAGGCTGCGTCTTATTTTTAGTGAGCACAATTGGGGTTCAACACACAAGAGAAAGAGACAACTTCACAGCTCTCAAGCTGCTGGGACCTGGCACCCCACGCCAGGACTGCAGCCCTGCAAGGAGCCAGACACAGATCTGCCTCAAGGACAGCCCCTGCCCCTGCCCCTACATCGACTCCTCACATTCGGGCCCCATGAGTCTCCTTCCAGCCTCCCCAATACACCCACCTCGATCCTACCTCAGGGCCTTGGCACATACTGCTCTACCTGGAACACGTGTCCTTAATCCTGCCACTAGCTCCTAAACATTCAGGCCTCAGCCCAGACGCCGTGACCTCCACGAGGACTTGCTGAACCCAGTTTACAGCAGCACTTTTATCATAGCTGAGGTCGTCCCCTTTCTCTTTTCCTTTCCTTCCCATGAGGACAAGGCCCACTCGACCCCATCACTGCTGTGTGCACCAGGGCCCAGCAGGATGCTTGGCACACAGCAGACTCCAAATGTGCAGGGCATTAAAATGATATTGGCAAAGTGTTGCCCAACCAATTCACTGTCTTGGAATGACAAGCTTGCGCTCCCGTGAGGAACCTGACATCTAGAACTATCTTACTACAATGTGCCCACTCGTAGACAGCAACACAGGCCACTTCATACAACTTCCATGCTTGCCATGTTACCAGCAAAACCTGGGCACAGTCCAACCAGGGCCGACGGAAGACACGTGCTCAGTGCCTGCTTACTACATGGAACCAGGCCACAGTGCTGGGAACACACTCTCACACACATGTGCACACACAGGCATACACACATACACCACATGCACCCATATACACACACACTCACAGCCACCCCTACACACATGCACCACTCACCCATACATACACATACATTCACACCAAATGCACACTCTCACACAACCATGCACACATTCATAGTCACATGTGTGCATTTGCACAACACACATTCATGCACTTCCACATATTCTCACACACACTTTCACATCCTCACACTTGTGCATACATACGCACACACCCATGTACACATTCACACACACACACCCGTATGTGTGCACGCGCACAGACGCACACTGAGCTGTGTTTCCCGGGGGCCCTTTGTCCTTCGAGTATGTTAGCACTAGGCCCAGTGATGTACATTTCCTCTCCATCCCGCTTCTGGTAACTACCCTACCCCAGCCCGCCCCACTCCCACACACACCCCAAAATAAAGTTTCTCCACCTGGCACCTGGCTCAGAGGTATGAAGGGTAGAGATTTTAAAGCCATCTAAGTCCCCAGGGGTTTGATTAACCTTTCGCTGGAACCAATCTCATTAGGAAATAATCTTCCTCACTAATAATGTGAGCCAAATGTCAGGATTTAAATATTGCCCAGGCCAGGCAAAGTTATATCTAAAATATTAATGGCCAAGGATTTAAAATCATTAGTGGCTCCTTTGGTTTCCCCACCATGAATGGACTCACACTTGGAGTAATTAGAACGTTTCAGAGCGTGGTTACTTCCAGGCCCCTGGAGCTCTGGTGGCTTCTACATTCTTATTCCTGAAAACACCATCATTAACAGTGACCACAAACCATAGTGGCGAGAATGTGTCAACCAATCATGATTAATTTATCACAAAGTGCTAATGAGACAGGATCTTCTGACGGTTCCTAACGAAGACGATGAGGTGGGGATGGGGTAGAGGCAGGGGCCCATTTCCCTAATGCTAAGGCACCACTAAGGGCCACCGCTCCATCCAACACAAAAAGACAAGCTCACAGGGCCATAGGGAGGCCACAGAAAGCGATTCAGAGTGTAGATCTGAAGAGTCGAGAGAACTCTCAGAGACAGGTGGCCACCAGCACCCAGGGACAGCTGAGGACAGGCAGCCCCTCCTCACCACAGGACTCAGCAGAAAGGGTGGTGGAGTCAAAACGCTGCAGACCCCCCAAACACAGGTTCTGCCCCCACCCTCTGTGAACGCATCCACACTCTTCCCTGAACAGGTGTGCACGTCCAGACCTTATCGTACTTCATTTTCTTCAAGTTTGGGAACCTTATAGGAAACACTACTCACACTGACCCTCAGGGGCTTCCTGTTTTGAGTTTCTCTGGAGGTTCTTAGATTCCACAATTACAGAAATAAGACCAATGTACAGTATGGTGACTACAGCTAACAACACTGTATTGTACACCATAAATTTGCTAATACAGTAGATTTCAGATGCCCTCACCACACACACAAAAAGTAACTGTGCAAAGTGATGAATATGTTAATTTGCTTAACTAATCATTTCACTATGCATATGTACATCAAACATATACCTTAAATATGTAGTTTTTACTAAAAAATGATTTTTTAAAAATAAGATTTTTAAAATAAAAAGTTTTTAAAAGAAAAGAAATAAGGGCCAGCCCGGTGGCGCACTGCTACAGTGCGCCGCTTGGGAAGCGCGGCAGCGCTCCCGCCGAGGGTTTGGATCCCACATACAGAACGGCCACTCACTGGCTAAGCGAGGTGCGGGAGCAACACCGAGGGTTGCGATCCCGTTGCCGGTCCCGGTCCGGTACGGGCGCGACACTGAGGGTTGCGATCCGTTGCCGGTCACGAAAAAAGACAAAAAGAGAAAAAAAAAGAAAAGAAATAAGATGCCCTTAGATTTTTCAGAGCCCACTCCTGGACTCTGGGGGCAGTCCCCTCATTCTACGTGGAAGAGTCCTGGTCTCCTTGGTTGTCCCTGCTGGTGGCGCCCACCCCATCCCCCACTCCTTGACAACTTCCACTTCTACTTCTGGCACCTCCTGCGCTCTCCCCAAGAGGGGATGTCCAGATGGCAAAGCACTCCGAAGATGGCACCCTACGATGATAGAAGGCAACAGTGACAGCTCGTGTCTGTTTCCCAAGAGCCTTCCTGCCGACGCCTGCTTCACCTGTCCCCTGAGAGTGACATCTCGGGTACCTACCCTATCCTGTCAACCAGGTCCCAAAGCACGTTGGGCGTCGGGACCAGGGGGGAGCCGTCATACAAGACCACAGACGCTCCCGTGGCGAGAGCGGACACCATCCAGTTCCACATCATCCAGCCGACCTGAAACAAACACAGCAGCGAGGCTTAGGCAGAGCGCAGAGCCCACTCCCCCCACCTGCCACCCAGCCTCTGGTGCCCCTGGAAAAGCCCTGAAACTGAGCCAAACACAAATGGGAACTAAGATGTGGAGAGGCACGGGCTTGTGCTACGGGAGGCTGTGCAAAAATGACTTATGTAGTTGCCTTGGGCCCTGAAAAACACCAACCTTTCACCACAAATCAGGCCTTGAATTTTTTGCCATGTGCACATTGCACACAACTGCTTGAAATGTTTGCCACGTGCCATGTGGCACATGTTGCCATGTGGATTTAAATTATTTCTAACAACACCAACCTTTCACCACAAATCAGGCCTTGAATTTTTTGCCATGTGCACATTGCACACAATTGCTTGAAATGTTTGCCACGTGCCATGTGGCACATGTTGCCATGTGGATTTAAATTATTTCTAATTTTAATTGAAAACTTTTTAATTTAAAATTTTTATAAAGCCAAAAAGGTGTGCACACCTCCACTGACAACACTCCCAACTACAGGTAGTTCTGGAACAAAACACACACAGTGACAGACAAGAAAGCAGATGAAAAGTTCCAGCAGGAATCTCAGCTCTGGAGGGCAAATGGAAGCACCCCAACCCCACCACGTAAGCAAGAAGGACACGGGGGACATGCCCCCACCTGGAAAAACTGAAGCCCCAAGGTCAGAATCTCAGAAGGTGGGGACCGGGAGGCCGCATGGGGAAGCACCCAAGGGGTTCTCAGTACAGCCTGAGTAATAAGCCCCGGACAAGAGCTTGTAGGACACAAGACAGAAATCTAATGGGCATGCAAAGCAGGGGCCAAGCAAGCAGGTTACCTAAGCCCAAGTGACCTGAAAACCCTCCTCCATGCCAACCTCAACCTAGGGCTGTCCTCAACCTCCACAGGCTCCAGTGGCCAACCCAATACCCCCGGGAAGACTGACCTCCTTCCCCAGCAGCACCCCAGATGGAGGTGAGGGCACGAGGGACCACAGGCCAAAGTCTCAATGTAGTTGAGCAGCTTTCTCTACAGGTTTCAATGTATTAGTGGAGTTTCTTTTATCAAAGAATTCATTCCTCTAAGAGGAAACCAGTGGCTGGAAGCACAAGCAGCACAGCATTCCCAACCACCTCACAGTTCAGCAAGGCTGTTAAAAGTAGGGTCAATAAGTGACACAGCACAGGCCTGGCCAGGGTGACACCTGCAACCACAACAACTGCCACCTGAGGCTGCTGTTGAAACCATCTTAACATCGGGTGTGCTCCGTGTAATGCCCCGATCCCTTATGGGCAGGATGCTTCCAGTATAAATAAAACGGCTTTGAGAAAACTCCAAATTTTTTAGTTCTTCCCATCATGCACTTCTTCTCAATATGATACCCTGTCATTTTAAATCACCTGTCTGAAAATGGTGCATCATCACAGCTACTGGGGGACTTTCTGCAATTCAATAACAGCAGCGCAGTGATGTTGCTTCCCTGGACTTCCTTTCCTTAGGGTATTGGAGACAGGGCACAAAATCAAAAAGGCCCCATGCCTGGAGGGGCCCAGCACCTAGGACCCATGTGTTGGGGGTAGGGAAGGGGTGCAGGATAAATCCCTGCAGCTGAGAGAAAACTGAATCATTTGGCCCATACTCCTTAATTCACGGCAGGACAGAGAGAGTAAAGTGGCCTGCCCATGGTCATGTACCAGGAGCACACCCAGAGGCCCCCCCTCCTATGTCTGCAGGGGGTTCCAGGGGGCTGTCACAAGTAGCACAGCCAGGGTCCTGGACATCAGCCTCACATGTCAGGAATCTGCCCCCAGCACTCTCTTTCCTTAAAAACTCGGCACAAAAGTGTCATGCGGGAAATGCAGCTAGATCCTTCTAGAACCTCTTGATATTCGTGGTCTTCGAAAAAGACAATTTTGAGTTCTCCCCATTTGGGGTAAAACACAATTGCTTTAACTCATCCTAAGCATTCATTGTTCAGTATTCAACATGGACAGGAATACCTCCAAAACCTTGAACTCAAGTTTTGGTTTAATGGTGTACAATCCACACTAAACTACAGTAGGGACCATGTGCATCTGCTGTCTTGTCACACAGTCCTAGCAACATCAGACACCAATAAGGGACTGCCAGGGCCAGGTGCAGAGCAGGGAGAAAGGGACATTTGGACACACACGACGGTTCTCCAGTACCTGTAGAAAGGCCTTACCGTGGTGTAGTACAAGAGGTGTCACACAGTCCTAGCAACATCAGACACCAATAAGGGACTGCCAGGGCCAGGTGCAGAGCACGGAGAAAGGGACATTTGGACACACACGACGGTTCTCCAGTACCTGTAGAAAGGCCTTACCGTGGTGTAGTACAAGAGAATGTCACTGCTGGTCATGTCACTGTGAAGCACATGCTCCTTCAGATGCTGGATGAGGGTCCCCTGCAGAGGTTGTAAGAGAGACAATGAGGCAGCTGCCCTCCAGGAGTCACCCTGGCGTAAGGCAGTTTCACAGCTTCACTCGACACCCTGCCCAAGAAACTCTCCCTTTTCTTTCCCAGGAGAGCAGACTTTGGAGCACGCCAGCCCCGTGGCTCCTGTGTCACCTGACCAGCACTCAAGGCACACAGAGGAAAACCCCGACATGCTCCTGCTTGCCTGTGAGCTCTCTGAGCTCTCTGTGCCCAGGCCATCAAGGGCACCACAGGGCCCCGCCAACTTTAGGAGGAAGAGAAGTGAACCTTATTGAGAGCAAAGTCCAAATTCAAGGGGAAAAGAACAGGGCTCAGGGCAAAGAGCACTCACAGAACAGGCGCAAGACCAGCCTTGTCCCGCAACCCCCCGCTCCCACCTTGCCCATGCCAAACAGGGAAAGGGGAGACGGCTGGGCAAGACCCTCACTGGGACTCATGGCTCCTCTGCAAGCCTTGGATCAGAGCCTAGGGGACAACATGAGACCCTGCATCCAGCTAAAACGTCCAGACCCCCTCCCTCCCAGCCCCCATGCACTTCCTATTACTTTGTAATTTTAATGTTTAATAGGCAATATACTAGCACAGTCCAAAACTCTAAGCACATACTCTGAAAGGCCTTTCTCTCTCCTTGCTCTGCAGCCAGTTCTCCCCAGAGGCAGCCAGAGTTAGCTGTTTCCTGTATAGATTTCCAGGTATATTTCTCGCCTATACCAGCATATTTACTTATACTATTTTTTAAATTTTGACAAGTTGTCCTACATTTTGCTTTTTCCACTTAATAACATACCTTGGAGATCTTTATCAGTACACATAGTGCTCCCTCATGGGGATTTTTTGTTGCTGTTTTGGGAGGTTTTTTTTTTTTTTTTTTTTTTTT